CAAGACTGCCTCCGGGAATGCTTCCCCTGCAAGAAGGCAGAGTGATGCTTCCCTCTCCCAGAGCCCAGACTGTTCCTCCTACTTTTTTGTTCCTTTCAGAAGGCAGGGATTTTTTTTTTCTTTCTGTTTTTTGAGCCGGAGTCTCACTCTGTTGCCCAGGCTGGAGTGCAGTAGCACTATCACGGCTCACCTCAGCCTCAACCTCCTGGGCTCAGGCGGTCCTTCCGCCTCAGCCTCCTGAGTAGCTGGGACTAGAGTCATGTGCCACCATGCTCAGCTAACTTTTTGATTTATGTGGAGACAAGGTCTTGCAATGCTGTCCAGGCTGGTCTCAAACACGTGGGCTCAAGCAATCCTCCCACCTTGGCTTCCCAAAATGCCAAGATTTCAGGCGAGACTGCGGCGCCTGGCGCTCCTACCGGTTTTGTTCCTGGGCAACCTGACATCCACACCCCTTCCTTCTGAGATGGACGAGGGAGAAGGAAGGACAGCCTGGGCTCTGGGAGAGGAGGAGGGAAGTGCCACTCTGCCTTCTTGCAGAGGAAGCATTCCTGGAGGCGGTCTTGGCCCCTTTAAATATCATAGAGATGAGATGGAGGTGGTGGTGCTGACTGTGGGAGCAGGCTGGGATGCTGGTTGATGAGCTCAGACTGTTTCTGGGACTTTATTTGCATCGGAATGCAAATGAGGCAGTGTATGGAGTCAAACCACTCTACCCCCACTGTATGTCTTTGTGCATGTGTGAGGCATGTTGCACGGTGGGGGGGAGCACTGTTCAATTGTGTCTGGATAATTGCGTCTCCTCTGAATTTTTTTTTTTTAAGAAAGCAGGATTTAAAAGGACAGAGGACAAAAAAGCTCCTACAGTGGGAGGGTACCCTAAGGGGTTGCCCTGAATTATTTTTTTAACTCATAAATTTGTTTATATCTGAGAGGCCAGAAACCATGCATTTTTTTTGGGGGGGGGGGTTCTGCATGTAAGCATTTTTGGTGAAAAGTTAAAAATTTAGATTTCTCTTCAGCCTTGTCCAAGAAAGTGCAAATAACATTAAGAATGTAGTCCCAATTTTCTGAGCATACAAAGGGGTAGGAACCAATGATGGATGCATGCCCCTCGTTTTGGGGACCTGGCAACAGCTTAAAAATAGATGGAGTAGGTTGGGCTTGGTGGCTCACCCTGTCATCCCAGCACTTTGGGAGGCCGAGGCGAGTGGATTACCTGAGCCTGTGGGTTCGAGACCAGCCCAGGCAACTTGGCGAGTCCTCATCTCTACAATAAAATAAAAATAAAAAAAACTAGCCGGGCATGGTAGTTCCGTCTACTCGGAAGGCTGAGGTGGATGGATCGCCGGAGCCCAGCAGGTCGATGCTGGGGCAGCCGTGAGCGTGAGTGCCACTGCACTCCAGCCTGGGCAAAGGAGTGAGACTTCAACTCAAAAAACAACAAAAAAGATGGATTTACGTCCAGATGATCACTGCATTCAAGGCCCTTCACCCCACCCCCCACCCTGCCTTTCTGGTTTCCTCTCCACCACCAGACCCAAACATCTCACCATTCCTCAAATGTGCTCTTCTCGTAGCTTAATCTTCCATGGGCCTGTCTGCCCTTCCTTCATCCTCCTCTTGGAGGCCTCTACTTACCCGGTAAGTCTCAGTTCAAATATCCTGTCTCTTGTGAAGACATGGCTGATTTCTCAGACTTGGTCTCTCCATCTTCTTCTTCTTTTGAGCTGGAAATCTCACTCTGTCACCCAGACTAGAATGCAGTGGCACTATCATTGCTCACTGCAGCCTTGACCTCCTGGGCTCAGATGGTCCTCTTGCCTCAGCCTCACAAGTAGCTGGGACTGCATCCATGCACAACCACACTTGGCTAATTTTTTTTTTTGATAGAGATGAGGTTTTGCTACATTGCTCAGGCTGGTCTTGAACTCCTGGGTTCAAGCAATCCTCTTGCCTCGGCCTCCCAAATTGCTGGGATTACAGGCGTGAGGCACTGCCCCGCTGTTCTGTCCATCTTCTGAGGCCTCCTGGCAATGTGCTCAGATTTCCATCATGGCATCTGTTACGGGGCCTTGATGCGTGTTTACATGGGAGCCCTTTCGAGCAGACCTGGGTCTTCATATTAATACAACTGCTATAGTTTGGATGTTTGTGCCCCTAATCCTCATGTTGAAATTTGAGGAGGTGGGGCTTAGTGGGAGGTGGATCCCTCATGAATAGATGAATGCCTGGGGTGGTGGAAGTGAGTTCTTTCTTGCTGTCTAGTTCCTGTGAGCTGGTTGTGAAAAACAGCCTGGCACCTCCCTTCTCTCTCTTGCTGCCTCTCTCACCATGAGATCTTTGCACAGCTTTCCGCAGCCTGAGACTCTCACCCAAAGCAGGTGTAAAACCTTGAACTTCCGCAGATGTTAGAATTGTGAGCCAAATAAACATTTTTTTCTCTGTAAATTACTGAGTCTAAGCATTCCTTTACAGCAACACTAAATGGATTAAGACAATGATCTGCCGTAGTACCTGGCACTTAACAGGTGCTTAAAAAAAAAAAAAGAAAAAATGCTGGATATGGAAGAGAATCAGAACGCTGAGTAGTTAAGGGCACTGTGGTTGAGTTCCCCTACTCTGAAGGCAGAGACCTCTGCCTGAGCCCTACTACTGCCTCTTCCTTCCTGTGGTCCTCTCTGACCTTCAGGTGTCCTTGTTTGTACAATGGGGGATCAATCAGTGACGGCACCCGCCTCAGTCTGTGGGGGGTTGTGAAGACGAATGGTAGAGCATGCTTAGCACAGTGTATGGCCCCCAGCAAGCACCCAGTACATGGCAGCTATAACTAACAGGAAACTTGAAGTCTGGTCACCCACCTCCCAAGATGGAACCCTGGCATTTGGATTAACCCCTTATCCTGAGAACTGGTCCTTAGACAGCTGGCACCCAGGCTTGGTAAGCCCTCCTGCCCTTGACAGACCCCTAGCTCTTTCTTTAAGCATCATTTACAAATTCCCTCCAGGTCATACTGCCTCTTCACTTGGTCCACACACAATGTCTTCTCTGATTCTTTTTTTTTTTTTCAGGGGAAAGTGTGAGTGTAGTCCCCCGCTACCACAAATTATGCAGTCAAGTCTCCCACATTTGGGGAGATTGCAGGGGTCAGCACATACGGAGTGCAATGGATAAGCCTCGTCCTGGGAAAACCGCCTTCGTGATCATGGTATCTCCCCTGCCAGGTAAGTATTGTCTGATTCTTGATTAAATCACACACAACTCGGGGCATCAGGTCCAACAACTGCATTAGAAACCATCTGGGCTTGTGGAGTCACTGGAGCAGTGGAGTGGAGAGAGGACCCACTCTCCCCAGCTTCTCAACTCAGGGACTAAAACCATCAGAAGTCACTCCAAGGAGAGAGGAGGTACAAAGGCCCCCCGGGAGGGGCAGGGTAAGGGATAAGCCACCCCAAGGCCAGGAGGGTGTGGTAAGGGGCTGCTGTGGTCCCCCTCAATTCATGTGTTGGAATCCTCAAGGTGATGGTATTTGGAGGTGGGTCTTTGGAGGTGATTAGGTCACGGGGGGTGGGGGGGCCCTTAAGAATGGGATTAGCACCTGTATGAGACAGGCCAGAGGGAGCTTGTCTGTGCTTCTACCACGGGAGGGCACATCAAGAAGGCACCACCTAAAAATCAGGAGATGGCCCTCAGTAGACTCCGAATCTGACATCTTGACCTTGGTCTTCCAGTCTGCAGAACCCTGAGACAAGTTTCTGTTGCTTATAAGCCACCCAGTCTCCAATTTCTTTTTTTTTTCTTTTTCTTTTAAGTGAGAAAGCAGGATTTACTGAGGACAGAAAAACTCCCACAGTGGGAGGGGACTCGAAGGGGTTGCCCCTAGTCTCAGGTATTTTGTTATAGGAACTGATGGACTAAGATGGGAAAGGCTGGTTCTTTCAGCCCCAACCTTTGGGAAGAAGGCAATGCTAGTTGATCACTTTCACAAGGAAGAGGCTCAGAACGAGGCTCTGTCCCCTCCCCTGCAGGGATCTAGGGGGCCAGGCACAGCTGAGCCCAGACCCTTGCTCTGTCAGCCCCACCTGGGGATGTCTTTGGGGGCAGCAGAATTGAGAGAAGGGAAGAGCTCCTGGCTCTGCTTCCAGAAGATGGTTACCTGAGTCAGGTAGCTGTGTCCAGTGCTAGGAGACCAGAGGGGCAGTTGCCCATTGGGACACAGGATTCAGGCAGATAATCTGGTATCAGGGATTGGGGGAGAATGTTAATGACCCTGTTTAACCTGTAGGAGACATGTGGTTCTCTTATGTTCAAAAGCGAAAATATGGGGGGGTACAGAGGGTCGGCGCTTCCTCACAATCCACCTCAGTCCCGCTGCCCAGCAGCCCTTGTTCATTTCCTCTCTCTCGGCCCGGCCCACACCGTCCTCCAAAGGGAGGCTGGTTTGTGGGGCCAAAGCCATGCTGCCTGCCTGCCCGAGATGACAGGCTGCCCACCCTGTTCAGTTGGCTGTGGTGCGGTCTCACTCCCATCTCCCCCGAGCATCAGCAAAGACCTCACAGCTTTGCTAACACTGTCCCTTCAAGGTGGCGGCCCAGCCCCAACCCCTGAGGGACGTGGAGGCAGACAGGCCCTGGGAGGCAGTGGGAAGGGGGCTACGCTCACTAGGGTGGCTCTTTGGGGAGCGACAAAATTCCAGAAATAGGAAAGAGGGTAGACACAGGTTTGGCAACTTTATGTTATTACTTGGGAACACTGGTTCCTTTTCCACCACCATATACTTTTTTTTTTGAGTTAGGTTCTCACTTTTTTGTGAGTTGGGGTGCAGTGGCACGATCATGACTCACTGCGGCCTCGACCTCCCGGGCTCAGGCGATCCTTCTGCCTTAGCTTCCTGAATGGCTGGGATTACAGGCGTGCGTTACCACGTCCAGCTAATTTTTGATTTTTTTGTAGAGACAAGGTCTTTGTAGAGACCAGGCTGATCTCGAACTCCTGAGCTCAAATGATGCTCCCCACCTCAGCCTCCCAAAGTGCTGGGATTTCAGGCGTGCGCCACCGCGCCCGGCCTCAAGCACCATATTCCAATCAGGTCTGTCAGTAACACCCACTCCATACCACACTACCCTTCCTGGGTCCATGAAGACAGCCGTCACTGCTGTCTCGGCCCCTCCTGAGTATTCTCCCTTGGGTCCCCGGAGGCTCTCACACCCCCAGGCTGCTCTTCTCGTCCTCCTTGGGGCTGGGCTCCTCCTGGGTCTTCTTCATCTCCCAGCCCCGGACCCAGGTATAGGCGGAGGAGCCGCCTAGCACCATCATGTTACTCATCCACCAGAAGAAGCTCTTGGTCTCCTCGTAGTAGAGGACGGCCAGCACCGTCTGGGCACAGGCCTTGGCCGTGCCCGACACGTTGTGGGTCAGAGGACTGGTGAACTTGATCTGCAGTCCTGTCACATAGCCGATGGCAAAGCCAAACAGGCCACCAAGCGTCATCATTCCCCAGAAGTGGGCGCTGCCCAGGTGGGCGAAGTTCTGCAGCGCCCGAAGCTCCCCCAGCAGCAGGAGGAGGGGCAGGAAGAGGATGCAGGCATTGAGGTTGTTGTAGAAGGTCAGGCGCCAGATGCTGCCGTCCACCGCCGGGAGCACCTTCTTGGTGTAGATGGCATTGAGTGAGACACACAGGCTGGCCAGCACGCCGAAGACGGTGCCCAGCAGAGACAGGGTCCCCTCTGCGCCCTCCTGGTCCACACCAAGCCAGAAGCCCCCTGCAGTGGGGAGAGGAGGGAGAGGCCAAGGTAGGAGAAGAAGGACAAGGATGAGGAGGAGGAAGGACAGGGAATTTTGACGCCAAAGTCCACAGACTGTGAACTGCAGCCTCTCCACCCTTCTGTCCCAGCCTCCCTCCCACAATTGAGTCCAAAGTCTCCACTCCAAACAAAGCACTCTGTAGGACCTGGGGCAAGAAAATGTCCTCACAGGGCTTACAATCCAGCAGAGAAGGCAGACACTAAAACAAGTCATTCCCTCATTACTTCTGTAATTACCATTGTAGGAATTGTAATGAGGTCCATAAAATATTCCAGGGTGTTGTAAGAACAGGACTGGGTGACTGTGCTGGCCTAGGGCATCTGAAAGTAACATTTGAGCTGAGTTCTGAAGGATGAGTGTCCCTTAGTGGTTCAGGTGACTTTGGGCAAGTAATTTGAGGTCTCTAAGCCTTGGCTTCTTCCATAACACGGCAAGGTGAGCATTAAGTCGGAATCACTTGTGTTTGGGACAGGCACTCTCTGAGACTCTAATCTTTTTCTGAGTGTGGGGTTTCACTCTGTCACCCAGGCCGGAATGCAGTAGCACGATCACAGCTCACCACAGCCTCAATCTCCTGAGTTCAGGCGATCCTCCCTCAGCCCCCTGAGTAGCTGGGACTACAGGCGCATGCCACCATTCCCGGCTAATTTTTTGATTTTTTTGTAGAGACGAAGTCTCAGGCTGGTCTCAAACTCCTGGAGTTAAGCAATCCTGCTGCCTTGGCCTCCCAAAGTGCTGGGATTACAGGCATAAGTCACCACACACTTTCATGGTTCCACACTGTCTCCTATCAAGCCCACCCTCCTCGGCCTGGCACGTAAGGCTTCCTACACCTTGCCAGCCCTTTCTGCGTCCCCAATCATCCCGAGCCTCCCCTCTCAGCTGCCTGCTTCCCACCCTGAGGTTCCATGTCCTTGTTCGTGTCCTGTGCCAGAAACACCTTCCTCCTTTCCAGAGGATTCTATTCTACTCATTTCTCAAGGCCAAAGCTGGCCTTTCCGGAGGAAATTCATTTCTGAGACCCCCAGCACCCAGACCACTCTGCAGCTTCTTACTGCCTTGCTTTCTTTTAAAGTGCTTGTTGGCCGGGCTCGGTGGCTCAACCTGTAATCCCAGCACTTTGGGAGGCCGAGGCGAGTGGATTGCCTGAGCCCGCAGGTTTGAGATCAGCCCAGGGAACTTGGTGAGACCTCATCTCTACAGTAAATACAAAAATTAGCCGGGCATGGTAGCGCGTGCCTGTAGTTCTGGCTACTTGGAAGGCTGAAGCAGTTTGACACTGGGGTGGCCGTGAGCGTGCCATGGCGTTCCAGTCTGGGAGACAGAGTGAGACACCAACTCAAAAAAATAAAAATAAATTAAAGTGCCTGCTCTGGGTTGTTAAGGTAACTGAGGATAGTCTGGTCTCTTTAGGAAGACTCCCTGCTCCTAGAAGGCAGGGGCTGACTTTTACAAAGTCATATCTCCTGCCACAGCAACCAGCCACATCTGGTAGTGGGAAAAGCCTTGGAATCAGGGGCATTTGGCTTCCAATTGGGGCCAGCAGTTTAGAAGCTGAGGGGCCTGGGAGAAGTTACTTAATCTCTCTGAGCTCCAGTTTCCTTCATCTGTAAAGATCTGGGTCACCTTCTTGTTCCTTACCCCAACTGATCTACTCTCTACGTGGCAACCAGAATGATTTTCCTACAGTACAGACCTCCTCAGGCCCTGCTCGAGCTTAAAGCCTCTCTGTGGCTCTCCTTTGCCTTTGGGACAAATTCGACTCACTCAACTTGGCCCTCTGTGGAGTCCGACTCACTGGGCAGTCTCATGTCTGGAGAGTCTCATGGTGGCCCAGCCATGAAGAAGTGCACATGCTCTTTCTTGTGTCTAGAACATTCACTTCCCACTTCTTCCTCTAAATCCACACAGTACTCCGGAAAGCCTGCTCGGATTGCCCCCTGCCCAGGGCCCTTCCCTCCACCAGAGTTTCCACAGCACCTTCAGTTCCCCATCACGGCCCTTACCACGCTAGTATGACTGTCGTTGACTGCCACGCACCATCGCCACACCCTCACAGAAGGAGTCAAGGCTATATTTTCCAAGCTTGTGTCCCCAAAGCCCAGCACGGTGCCTGGCATGTGCTTAGCCACCAATGAAGAGTTGAGAATGAATGAATGAATGAATGGAAGATGTTATAGAGGTGGTGGTGAGTATTAATGGGGACAGGGCACCAACTACCTCATAGGCACTCAACTCTTTTTTTGAGTTGGAGTCTCACTCTGTCGCCTAGACTAGAGTGCAGTGAGTGGCACACTCCTGGCCATTGCAGCCTCGACCTGCTGGGCTCCGGTGATCCTTCTGCCTCAGCCTTCCAAGGAGCCGGAACTACAGGCACGCGCTACCACACCCAGCTAATTTTTGATTTATTGTAAAGACTAGGTCTTGCCAAGTTGCCAGGGTAGGTCTTGAACCTGAGGGCTCAGGCAATCCACTCGCCTCAGACTTCCAAATAGCTGGAACTACAGGTACACGCTACCACACCTGGCTAATTTTTGATTTATTGTAGAGACAAGGTCTTGCCAAGTTGCCTGGGTGGGTCTCAGGCAATCCCCTCGCCTCAGCCTTCCAAAGTGCTGGGATTACAGGCTGAGCCATTGAACCTGGCCGGTACTCAACTCTTAAAAGATTCTTGGGAGAACTTTTGCACAAAAGGTATGCACAGACCTGCGGGGGGGGTGTGTGCAACGAGGGCAGAGGGCCACACCACCCCCTGGCCCGCTTAGTTAGAGCACCCCCAGTCTTCCTGCTGTTACCTCTGAGTCCAGAAGGGACCGCAGCCTCAAGGTGCCAGACCCCAGAGGGACTCTCAGCCAGGAGCCTTGAAAGGTACTATGTGATATGGGGGGTGGGGGCGGGAGGCCTGGAATAACCACCTAAGACCTATCCTTCCCTACAAGGAGGAAAAAAAGGGGAGAACACTGAATAAGAAAGAGGAGAGCACCTGCCTCCCTGGCCCTGCCCTAATCCCAGTCAGTGAACGCACCACTCTCAAAAGCCATCTCACCATCAGCTACTTGGATTTCCTTTGGAATTTGGGCCCAGTTTCCCCAGTGACTTCACCTTCCTGCATGCAAATTCTCCTACTAGGAGGCCTCCCTGCTCCCTTCAGTGTCAGTAGGAATGAAGCAGAGACTCTCTAGAGAGTTTGAGAACGGAGGAGGTGAGGCAGCACACCTGTTCTCTGAGGAGGAAGTGGAGAATTCTAGGAGGAGGGCCCTTGGCAGCTCCCCTCACTCTAACCTGCCCTTTTCCCCTCTCCCCTCCTGGACCTGGACTGAGCGTCTCTGCAGCCAGCATATGCTCGAGGGGAAACGTTTTCTAGGACAGGAGGCACAGTTTGGGGCCCTTCAGACACCAACCAGTGTGCCTCGCCTGAGACTCTGAGACACCAGTGAAGAGTATGTAGGTCAAATAAGGTGAACTTTATGCACCAGGAAAAACCTGAACAGGTTCAAATAAAGCTCACCTTTCTAGATGACATGGCACTGGGGAGACTGGAGACCTAACTCAGCGTGTTTTTTATTGACGGAAATGTTCTATGATCTGTGCTGATACCACAGCCCGGGCCTCATGTGGCTCCTTAGCATGAGAAATGTGGGCTACAGGACGAGTTGATAACACCTGTAGCTGGAGAATGGGATGCCTATCATCTTATTTCATTTTAACTAATTTAAACATGTGGCCCGTGGTTACTGTATTGGACACTGTAGCTCTAACCTCCAACGGACAAGAACAGAGCAGAAAGGTTAGCAGCGAAAGCCCGGGAGTCCTGGCAACCCAGCCTGGCTAATTCTGAGTGGTGTGGCCCCAGACAAGTAACTTAACCTCTCTGAGCCTCAGTTTCTTTCTTTGTATGGAGATAATCATGGTGATGCCACTACTCAGGGGACTTTGGGAGGAAAAGGAGATGATTAGCACAATATCCTCATCAATAATTATTATTTCCTGCGGGTCAAGTTTGGAAAGACAGTTAAGGTCTCTGAAAGCATAGGTGTTATCCTTGACCTAGCCTGGTCAGAGGATGATGGTAGAGTTAGTGAAAGATGCACTATCCTCTACAAAAAGCACTGGAAACAATATATATAGTGGTTAAGTGTGTGAACTCTGAAGTCAGATTGCTTGAGTTCAGATCCCAGCTCTGCTGCTTATTAGCTGTGTGATCTTGGGCAAATTATTTAACCTCTCTGTGCTTTGGTTTTCCCTCTGTAAAACGTGGACTCTAATCCTACTATGCTATGAGGATTAGTGGAGCTAATATGGTTGAAGTGCTTACATCTGTGTGCCTGGCACATTTTAAGCACCCAGTCAATGTTAGTTGTTTTTGCTGTGGTTGTTGCTATTATTACTGCAGTTTTTCGGCCCTGGCTGTGCCTGTAACTTGCTGGGTGATCTTAAACAAATTACATGCTCTCTCTGGGCCCCAGGTTCTTCCTCACATGACTGCTGCCCCAAGGGAGCCAGGACAGATGAAGTCCAAAGATGCCTGGAAGGGATGTTCTTTAGGGTTTTGGACCCAAGCCCGCCCTGGTCCCCGGGGCCCTGGCTGTCACTCACCAATGATGATGCCGCAGGTGAGCAGGGCGTAGAAGGAGGTGGTCTGCTTGAGCAGCAGGTAGGAGAGCAGCACGTTGAAGACGGTGGTGAGCGAGCGGCCCACGTTGTAGAAGGCCACGCCAACGTACTTGAGGCAGAGGTTGTTGAAGGTGATCATGCCGATGAAGACCACTGACAGGGGCAGGACGCTGCGGGCCACCCTGAGGTCCAGGCGCAGGCTGGGGAAGTCCACGGCACCAGGGCAGCAGGCGGCCAGTGCACTGAGACCCTTGCACAGCAGCGTGGTCACCAGGCACTGGTAGAAGGTGACGAAGATGGGGGTGTCCAGCTGCAGCGAGGGGCTGTCCAGCAGGTACTTGTTAAGGAACACCATGGAGATGGAGGTGACCCAGTAGAGAGAGACCACCAGCGCGATCTGCAATGCCCGCAGCAGGAAGGGCTTCTCCCCGCTGGCCTCTGCCTCTCCAGAGGGGTCGGAGGCTCCAGTCAGCGCCATGTGCAGGATCCTGGACCGTTTCAGCGGGGCCCTGTTCATGGTAGCAGAGAAGCCAGGTCGCCTCAAGGCCAGAACTGACGCCCTGGAGTCCAGGGCAAGGAGCTCACTTGTGCTGTCTGCAAGTGGCAGCCCTCAACTGTCACATGGGGGGTGGCCTAGGGGCCTCCCCACCGACCTCCTGGATGGGGAGTTTCTGCTCTGAGGTCAGTCTAGCTGTGTGGCTCCACAACCCGCTCCCACCCCGAGGGGGCTCATGGCACAAGACACAGGGCCGGGGGAGGGACGGGTTACGGTGGTGGGGCCAGGACCGAGGTGACCTGCGTGGGGAGAAGGGGCTTGGGGCTAGCAGGGAGGGGTCGTGGGGAGAAGGGAGGGAGAGGGATGGAAGGATGGGGGAGGAGGGGGCATGCGGGCGAAGGTGCAGGAACAGGCGGGATCGGGTGCAGAGCGGGAGGCTGGGACCGCCACGGCGTGGGACGTGGGGGTGG